TATATGAAAAATATGTTTATAATATCTAATTTATAGAGGTCTAACTCAAAAAAACAGACATATATAAATTTATATATATATATATATATATATATATATATATATATATATATATATATATATCATTTTCCTTTATAGATATATATATTGATCTGAAAGGTCAACATGCAGAAATTAATAAGTCTTGTATCTTTACCTATTCTGCAAATTTCTTGCACAGCTTGCAACTATATATATTCACATGTACTTTATTAAATTTATGTATCAATTAAAAAAAGTCATTAGATCGTGAACAATTTATGGACTAATTAATATAATTATTAGACTCTACTTTTTATAGGCGGTAAGGTAAGATAGAGTTTCTCTTTTTTCCTCATGTATATCGCAACTTTACTTAGCACACCAACAAATAATATATCAAACAATTAAATAATCTTTAATCACCATCGACAATGATTCTTATTTCTCTATTATATTAAGAAAAAAAAGCCTCGAAAGTAATAGATCACGATGGGATTTACAAAGAAAAAAAATATTCAAGTCTTATTTAAATATAATTTTTAATTACTAGCTATTGACTCAAATATAATTAAAATTATTTAGCTTTATGAGAATTTAGAATTTTAATCTAGTATTTTTAATGTCAGAAAATAAAAGATTATTTCCTAAAGAATTTTCAATCATGATTATTGAAGTGTAACAATGATCAGTTTCCAAAACCCGTGGGTTTAACCTAATATAAGATTTTAATTAACTTTTATAAACTATAAAATTATATATTTTATTAGATAATTTAATATATTATCATTTCATTATATTTAAATCAATATTTTTATATTATTTTTATTATAATGTTATTAAATAATATATATAGTTTAATATAATTATTGATTATACTATATTTATTAATTTATTAGAGAAAAATATTATTATATTATGATAAAGTTTTAAATACGAAAGAAGAAACCTAGAGTTTAGAAAAATAAAAAATGAACAGTGTAAAATAAAAAAGTCTATAACTTTATTATTTCATAAATTTAATATTTTAAACTTTATTAAATGACTACCTTATGTATTTTAAAAATATGTTTAATCAATAAAAAAAATTAAATATGTTTAGCTAATTAAAAATTTCAGCATCTTACATTATACTGTGAATTTTCTTATATAACCAATTATAAAATTTATGTAAGTCTGATTAAAATGTTTGTATATAATTTGACAAATTAAAAACAGATTTGTGAGAGATTAAATTAATTGTATTATTTTTATTGAAAAAGAATATTTTCTTCACATGAGGTGATCCTGTCTCACAAAATTTTTGTGTTGTAAATTTTCTGGATGAAGACCTTTTTATCTTTTGAATTTTTTTAACATTACTCATATATGTGAATGAAGACTAAATCTTGTGAGAAAACTAAATTGACGGATTCAATTATAAACGTGAATCAGAATAATCTTTCATAAAATCACCTTAATAAAAAATTTGCAATACTTTCAAGTTTTATTCCCAAACTGATAGAGAAGGCACAATTCTTCTTTAAACTCATAAAGTGATTGAAAAATTCATAGATATATAATGATAGGTAAATAATTTAGATTATAAAAAAAAAAAAAAGTGTCTTTAATAACACGTATATATTGAAATGGACAGTGCTAATTATGGTTGATGGAAAGCCAAAGGTATAGCTTTTAATTGCCTTTGATTTTGAGTTCATGGAAAATTGCTAGCTACCTACTTGAAAATCATATATACCAAATTTCGTTATTGACTAATTAACAAATTTATGTGTATTAAAATTGAACGAATTTATCAATATTAAAAAAATCTGAGAATATAAAGAAAGAATCATATTAAGAGTATTAACAAAATTAACTTGAGTGAATCAGAAGAAGCTCCGATGCTTTTGTTCCGAACGAAGAATTTGTGAAGACAAATTAGAAACGAAGAAAAGAAGGAACCACACAGAAAAACAAAAAGAAAAATGATAAAGTAAATAAAAATAAAGTAAAAAAAATCTCGTATTTATTTATTAAAATTTTTGATAACATTTTAAATTTAACTGAAATTTATTTGAAATTCATTTATATTTTTAAAATGATTTTTGTACATCAAATTATTTTTATTTCGTTGTTCAATTTCAATTCATAATCATTCATTACATTAACTAACTAATCATTTTTTTTCATCAATAAAATTAATTGCAAACTTTTCACTTATTTTTCTTTTTTTTTGTTTTCTAAATAAACATGCTATATTTTCACTGTATCTTTTGCTTTCTTTTTTTTCTTATTTGCTCTCTCTACATAAAATTCAAACAAAGTTTTATTATATAAACTAGCTATTTATCCTTTTTTTAGTATTAATTTATGCATTACTTAATATTTCTTTTTATTACTAATTTAACATTAATTTGACTAACTCAGTCACACTGATAACTATGTAAGAATGAAGTGATAAGTCCAATAAGTTTACTAGGTTTCAAATAACTCTATATTCTATACTATGGAATTTTAAACTTAACTCAACTCTACAAAATTAATTTGCAAATGAGATTTATATATGATAAAATTACATTATCTTTAATCAAGGTAAGATTTCTCTAATAAGTAATATAATTAAATCTTTATTTTATTTATATTTATTTCTTTATATATCTATGTTGGAGAGAAGCTTGTTTTATTTTATTTCTTTTTCATTTTCCTATAACATTAGTCTAAGTCTCATTCAATTTATTTGACTAAGTATATACCGAGTTATCCAATCAGTTGGTGTGTATACATTTTAGAAAATGAGATTTTTTTTTAAAAAACGATGGTTTAAGAACATCTTTGTCAGACCTCGTAAATACGCACCCAAAACCCCTCCTGTCAGGATCATTTAAAACGCACCCAAAACCATCTGAACGGACGCCAGGTGTCAAGAAACGAGGATCCGAAAATCAGATAGTGGAATGCAGGTGTCAGCAGGAGAGCGGACGTTCGTTTGAAACAAAATTGATTTTTATGAAAACTGCGTCACGCTCTCTGCATGCACTCATCTTCTCCAAAAATCCTGATCTTTCAAATTCTCCTTCTTCTCTCTAGAAACTTCCCCTTCTCTCTACCAAAACTCACCCTTCCTCTTTTCCGATCACCG